CATGTTTGGAGAAACCTTAAAGAAAGGCATCAGTAAAGTGGAACTTCTGTGCGAACTATTCATAGCTTATACTGCACTGTAACTTTTTATTCATGTATTTTTTCTTTTAATGTTTATTTTATTATCTTTTCTTTTTAATGAATGTTTTTAAATGCCTTTGTCTGAATGTCTTTCATTTTTGTAAAGCACCTTGAATTGCCTTGTGTTGAAAGGTGCTATATAAATAAACTTGCCTTGCCTTGCCTAGCAGAAAAGAATGACTGAATTCAAGACCTCCTAAAGTCTTAACAAAATACAAACAGTATAAGTTTGTCGGCTACCATGATATATGATTTAAAAAAGTTTTAAGGAAGAAAAATACTCCACAAAAGTCCTACCAGCTCTCATATTCACTGTTTACCCATTGTAGTGTATTGTTAGGTTTCATGCAAACAGTCAGTTGTGTGTCTGCATATTGGCACATACATTCTGCATATTTCCCAGTGGATTAACAGGGTGAGGCTATAGTGTTTTGTCATTTGACTGCTAAGGTTAATGTTTGGTGGACCCTCCCCATTTCTTCTCATGTTTTTCTGTAGGCCTAATTGGTTTGTGGTGATGTTTTAATGTCTGACATCATGTATTTGTCACATATTCCATCCATTTTGAAGAGACATGACAGCATTAGATTTGTTTCCGCCCATGTGCTGGTCTAGTACAGCATGTAGGGATTCTGTGGGGCAGATGCCAAGCCACCTCATGTCTGCTTTGAGGCACCGTCTGCTCTCTCCTGTTGCTCTCTGTTTGTTATTCAAAGCAGTAATATGAAATGTGTGAAAGCTTCATTATAGGGACATTCAGCTTCTCTGTGTTTTATATGGTGAGTGTAAGCCAAAATAGTCACTATGTAGTCTCAAGTCAGGTAAATACAATCTCCTATCAACAATAAATGCTCAAAGTCTATGCTTCTATTTGCAATATATTGTAAATGATCTCAAAATTAACTCCATCATCTATATTCCCGCCTCTAATTTAGAAAAACATGTTTCAAACCACCTTCAGACTGTTTGCGGCATCCAACAATGTGTTGGTTGAAATAAAGCTCCACTCTTCTGCAGAATGAGCATAGTGTAACATTTACATTTCAGGAAGATCAACAGGCTACCAAACTAGATACTAACTACTTAATGTAAAATACTGATAATTACACATTCCAGGAACTTTATGATATTTAACTTCTGATAATTCTGATGATTCAGAATGCCAAACCTTAAGTCTGGGACACTTTTATAGGCCAATAAAGATTTGATATCTTTGAGCACAGATAAATCAGCCATTTAAACCCAATCCTTATCGTTTAGGTTCACATTAACTCACTTAAAGGTGGGGTAGGTAAGTTTGAGAAACCGGCTCGGGATACACTTGTTATATTCCATGGAATGCTCTTAACATCCCGATAGCAATGAATATCTTAAGTGTTTTGACAAAAAATCCATCAAAAAATGTCATCTGTGGACGCCGTAGTAAAAAGCACGACCAATCATTTTAGCCGGCCCGGCTAAAATAACTGGATGGCCTACCTGCCTGTCAGCCTTCCATCTGTGCACACATTTATCTCGTGCCCTCATTGGTCATGTGCGCGTTCGTGTGTGTCGTGTGTATTTTCAAATTCTAACGCACTCAAGCTGGTTTCTCCAAAATTACCTACCCCACTTTTAATTATGTGGAGAATATAAATGAACATTGTCAGAGACTCGAGGCTGTTTTTTTTCATTCACATTTTGTCTTTATCAAACGGCTAAATTGCTGTGATTAAATCTGACTTGGATCATCTCCTTGGAAAATAAAACTGGGGTCAGTTTAGCATGATATAATATGTTTTAATCAGCTCCTGGTTTGCTTTGGCCTTCAACATTAATGCATATTGAACTGGTACAGTGTGGCAGTGGCTACAATGCCCGAGGACGGGCTATCCATGAACTTAACTAAGGAATTAAATACCAATTAATCTTTTTACTTATGTCATACAGTTTTGATAATAACACTGTTTTGTTTTGTCACTACAGAGATTCAAGGATGAGAAACGTCCGTGCAAAAGCTCTCTTGCTGGCAGGAGTTCTTGGTCTGTTTGTCCTCCATCTCTGTAAAGACTTTATTGACAACAAAATCTTCAACCTCGAAGAAGATGTGAGGGAAGATAAACGTCAAATAAGGCAACTGATACAAAAAAAAACCTATGTGTATTCCTGGACAGAATGTCAACAAAATATGTCTGCCGCCAACATCACAGGCTTCAAAACTCTTCCTCAGCACATCCAAGACTTTCTCTATTATCGACACTGTCGCCATTTCCCCATGCTACTGGACCTTCCTGACAAATGTGGAGGAGCTGATAAATCTGCAGAAGTCTTCCTTCTGCTGGTCATTAAAAGTTCCCCTGGCAACTACGACCGTCGAGAGGTGCTGCGTAAAACCTGGGCTAAAGAGAGGCTACACAATGGTGTGTGGATCCGGAGGGTCTTCATATCAGGGACCAAAGATACTGGTTTTGAGAAAGAGAGACTGAACAAACTACTCAAGGTAGAGCAACGTGAATACAATGACATAATCCAATGGGACTTTCATGATTCATTTTTCAACCTCACCTTGAAGCAGATCCTCTTCCTGGAATGGATGGAACGAAACTGTCCAAACGCTCGCTTCCTTCTGAATGGTGACGATGACGTCTTTGCCCACACAAACAACATGGTCGAGTATCTCCAAGGCCTAAAGGACAACGATGGAAGCAAACACCTCTTTGCTGGCCATCTGATCGCGGGCCAAGGGCCTGTGCGGGAGAAAAAAAGCAAATACTATATCCCAGTGCAGGTGCAGAAGTCAGAGTCATATCCCTCTTACTGTGGTGGTGGGGGCTTCCTCCTGTCTGGTTATACAGCTATGGTTATATACAACATGTCTCGGTCTATTACCATTCTTCCCATTGACGATGTTTACATGGGGATGTGTCTGGCCAAAGCAGCACTAAGTCCCGCTTCTCATATGGGCTTTAGGACTTTCGGACTGCGCTTGCCTTCAGCAAGTAGAGTACAGAGCGTAGATCTATATGATCCTTGTTATTATAGAGACCTCTTACTGATACACAGATTCTTATCAGCTAGAATGTATTTCATGTGGCATAAACTATCTGATCTGAATTTAAAATGTGGACCTTGAGAATATGATTCCTTGACTTGTGTAAACCTTATATTACACTGATTTGTGTGATCGTTGGAGTGTCAGTTCAGTCAGGTTAATCTAAGTATCCACTTTTGTACGAAAGTATGACTTCTTATTATCATTGCTCTGCTCTTTTGAAGACACAGTCTAACCTATTTTAAGGTATACTCTTAAGTTATTCAATTATTCATATAAATACATTTATATTAAAAAAGCTAATTTTACAAAGTGTCAATCAATAAACATTTACAAAAACTGTTTCCACAAAATTGCTTTATTTCAAACACGCGAGGGATTTAAAAAAGATTACAAATTACATGAAATTAAGCCACTGAAAAGTACAACAATTACCACAGTATAAATGAATTAAGGAAAATATAAAATGGCCACAATATTTTTTCTAAATATATCTTTATAAAAGAAAGATTTTTTCTGCCAACCATGCGTTATGAACATTCAACTTTTTTTGTATTGTTTCTTTATACATCATACTGTTTAACAAGAAAACATGGACAACTAAAAACTCTACAATGAACGTGATCTTATGTGAAGATGGCCGTGAGAATACAACTTTTGTGGAATATGTATTCTAATACTTTACTAAAGTAAAAATACTATTACCAAACTGGGTATTGGTACTGCATTCAAAACCTTACTTGTGTTAAAGTATGAAAGTATTATCAGCTAAATGTACATAGAAGTTATCAAAAGTACAATGAGTCCTTGTGCAGTCAGATGGTCTCTGTTTGTATATGATGTTTCTATATTAATGTTACTGCTGCATTAATGTGTATCTGAATATGTAAGATTGTGCTATTTTTCACTCCTTTATATACTGCTGGGTAGTTTAATCTACAGCAATGCCTCATATTCTATATTACCACATGTCTATAGCTGTGTTAGCTTTGTGACAATGCATTTTCAAGCTAATCTAAAAGGGATTTATGGGATTGTCAGCCTTTAGGGTTCTCTCTCTCGTCCTGCATGATGGCTTCAATTTGGTTTCCCAGGCCAGAGAAACAAGGTCGCTCCTCGAAGTCGTACGCCCAGCACAGCTTCATCAAACTGTACACCTGGTGTCATAAATGACAAAAATATAATATTCAACAAAGTGAATAACTGTTATTTAAATGGTTTTGTATGAGAGTTGTAGTGACTAGTTCAACAAGATGGGGCAAAATGTTTACAACACATTTCGTCAACAGCAAAGACTCTTGTAATTTTCTTCCAGAATTAAGATAAATATTTGCATAATGTTTTTTCATTTTGAGCAACACTTGCATTGTATAAAACAGAGGCCACATCATTACCCCAAAGATGATTTCCATTATAAGTACCTTAACATTGCAATATATTTGTTAGAGCTAGGTAGAAAAAGTGACAAATAAAATACCTTTTTAATACTAGTCCTAGACAAGGACTACTGCATTTCAACTATTGAACCACAAAGAGTGAACATACCTTGGCTGGGCAGTTTGGAGGAGCTGGCATCCTCCAGTTATTCTTTAGAATATTTGCCAGATACATTGAAATGGACTGACTCTGCACATTGTTTCCAATCTCCCGCATACATAGCTAAAACATTAAAATGAAGGAAAGATTGTTTTAAAAAGGGGGAAATATTGAAACATTTTGAATACATAAAGACAAGTAAGCTTCTTACTCTTTTTGGGTTGGAGTTGATGTCGCAGTAGCTGAAGAGCTCGTGAAGAACGACTCCAAAACTCCAGACATCTGACTTGTGGGAGAATCTGGACTCATTGATAGACTCTGGGGCATACCTGCATTAGAAGAGCAGTGTATGGTTGAATATAAGGCTACAGTTGGCAGCTGATATGTTAGCTTAGTGCAAAGCCTGGAAACAGCTATATCCGTATCTGATTTGAACGAACATTAGGCCTCGGCACAATCCTTCACAACATTTTTCATTTATCATTCAATGCTAGGGACATTTTGGGTCCACAAACTGCAAATAGTTATATATTAATGCAATTACACTTCAGATAAAAGAGCATTTGAATGTTTAATAATAAGGATAGCTACCAGAAAATGGGGCTATCTCCGGGTTGCGATACTCTGTAATATTCCTTGTCAAAAGGAACAATTTTGGTCAGCCCAAAATCAGCTATTTTTACCAGCGACTCACTGGCCACTAGGATATTTCTGGCTGCGAGGTCTCTGTGCACATAGCGCAAGGTCTGCAGGTGCTCCATCCCCTGGAAATGAGAAAATGACAAAACAGAAAAAAATGAAATATATTTTGTCCATGTCTAATTTGTTTTATGCTGTGCAATCATCATTTGGTACTAGCTTATAGCTTGTGAAAATGTAGTTGATTTGTGGAAAAAAAAAAAGATACCTACATTTTTTTTTTAATATTAAAGCGTATTCTTGTTTTTGAAAAGAACTTGAATCTCAGTATTCAAAAGATCAATGTAAAAGTAGCAAGATTTTGTCAGGCAATAATTCAATCGCTGTCAATTCAAACAGAACCTTCTCGAAGGTTGTAATTCTAACTGTTTGCATGAGTTGAATTCATACATCTGACTCTTACCTTACAGATCTGAGAAGCAAAAAGCAGCAAACGCCATGTGTTAACGTGAAGTCGGTTACTATCCAAGTAGTTAATAAGGCTGCCATAGGGTAGGTACTCCATCACCAAACTCATACTGAGGCGACCTGTGAACAAACAAACATTGAATTTATTCAACCCAATCAATTACAAACCCTGAAACACTAATAACACTTCCAATTGTATCTCTTGTATCTGTATAAGTCCCTCTGCACCATGATCTAACACTGATTTAAAATGTGAAGTAAAATGTAAATCCTGGATTATGCAGAAGATGCATAATAATTGCCATATAATAATTATAGTATAGTATACTATAACAAAAAATGACACCAAGTCTGGCAAATAACTGTTTTTAGGACATTTAGTTAAAGCCACAATGGTATTTCCTTTTGTGTACTTCTCACTTAAGGGAGCAAAGACATCTATTAAACAGTGATTACAAAAAACGAACTCTTTCCAAATAGAATATATGATTAATCAATTATACATTTAAATAAGCAGTCTTACAAATGTGTTCTTTTACTGAAGTTGATGACCACATTTTAGAACATCGTGTGCTATGTTTGCAATAATTGTTTTATTACCTGTGCTGTAACAGACTCCTTTGTATTTGACGATGTACTCATAGTCCAAAACGCTGAGGGTTTTGACCTCCTTCTTGAAGTCCTCAAGGGTCGACAGCTTGTTGGGCTGCAGCTTCTTAACAGCGACCATCTCACCAGTGTTATCCCCCAGCGGGTCATAACGGCAAAGTTCAACACTGCCAAAGTTTCCCTGGAAAGATTTTGACTCGTTCAGTCAGTCACATCCCAAAAACGTTTAAATTACCTCACCACCATGCCCTCACAACAGCCTGTTTACACCTGTTAGTCCATCAAACACAAGGTCTTGTGCACCACTGAGGAAGTCTAAAACGACAAGGGTTGATTACAAATATAAAAAAGGCTGTGTATTTTAAGTTGTCTTAACATCCTGGGCATACAGACAATACTAGCACAGTATCTTGACAAGATTCATTAGATTTTCTCAAAACACAAGATCATGATCATTAAAGTGCACCGATTGTCCAAAATTCTAAATATTGTAGTCCTATTGTGGCACTGTAGACTTACTTTCCCCAGAGGGGAGATGTATCGTAGGTGTCTCTCCTCAAACAAAGTCTGTTCGCCTTGATCGGGGCTGAGGGCTCTCCACACAGGGCTCTGTGCCACGGGCTCAGTGGCGTGCAGTATCACATAGTCTGCCATGAAACACAAAACACAAGTACTGACTTTTGGTTTCCTGATGTATTCAATTCACCTGATTCCAAAACCACTACACATGTTGTGAATGATCACAGATACATTTAGTTATTTAACTGAAACACACTAAACCCTTTGATAAGATATGTGGTTTATACTGGTTGTATTCATTATGAGCAAAGTATTGATACACATGATAACCTGAAGTGATCAGACTGTTGAGTTGACGGATGATGCTGCGACAGGAGGGTCTGAACGCGGCCTGGTAGTCCATGCACTGACTGACCAGATCGGCCAGCTCCGTCCACTGGGAGGGAGGCAGCTGCTGGAAGCTCTCGTAAAACTGTCGCTTCTGCAGAAAACATCAGTGACTCGTATCATTCACTGTACTATCCCCATAGGCTAGATGGTAAAATGCATGGTTGCATTTAAGATCTGATTCACAGGTTTCATCACCTTCAATACCAGTTACTTTCCTCAACCGACTTTTTAATTCACTTGAACTCATAAGTAGCTTCAGCAGAGTAATGCAACAACCTGTTACTGCTACCAGTTAGTTTATATAAAGTACAAAATAAAAGTAGTACCTTATCCAGATCACAGCCCTGCAGTGGTGTGTTCCCATTGTTGAAGATTTCCCACACAGTGGCACCAAAGCTCCACTTATCACACTCCAGAGTCAGGTTGTCTGGGGCCTCCAGCACTTCAGGGGCCACCCAAGGGATCCTGTCTAGGATCACTAAACAAACACACACACACACACACACACACACACAAATAAATAATGCTCATGGACTAGGTTTCAACCTTTTAAATGTGTTAAACATATTTGGATGTCATTTTGTTTTTATTTACCTTGAGATTAAAGTATGTATGTGTGTGTATACAGCAAACACTTAGCAAGTCCATCCACTTTTTTATAGTTACTAAATGGTTCTATAACTACAGTATCATTCATCAGGTGTCTCTACTTCCCTGAAGATTTACCATTCTTCCCCAGCATGGCCACACTGATGCCCGGGTCACTCAGCTTTATGAACGGAGAGCTGCCCTGTGATGGGTCACCTTCTCTGGCCAGCAGCAGATTCTTTCCGCAGATATTTCCATGAACAATGTTCTTTTCTTCCTGTTAGGCGGTATATGTTGACTTATTATAGTGAGCTGCATCGTTCAACTTTGAC